AGTTAAATTAGCTGTATTGTATGTGTGTGAATGAGTGTGTATGGGTGTTTCCCAGTGTTGGGTTGCAGTTGGAAGGGCATCCTTTCATTCATTTCGCTGTGGCGAGCCCTGACATCTAGGCTTATGATGGTATCAAATTTTCTTGTTGTGATTAATAGCTGAAGCTTTGGTTAAGGTATACAATTTTATCAAGATATTGACAAAAGCTGCAAAAAATATATGTTAACAGGTATAACAACAAAAAACGTAGTGTATTGCTTTATATGTATAAGTTCATTTTTAAAAAAACAAACCAAATTAAACCGCAAAAGGATTATAAAGTACAATAATGGCCACTGAATGGTATGGTACAGTTCAGTACATTTTTGATGGCCATTTCCACTGTCAAAAGGTTCCAAAAAGCGAACCGTACTACTTTTTGGGTACCCTTTAAAAAAAGTACCTAGCACAACAAATTGTTGACAATAGGCGAAGCCAGCGCACAGCTTAACGCTATTGGTTTACAAAGATATGTCACTAGCTCAAGCACAAGACAGGAGCATAAAAACAAAGGAAACACACAATTTTTAAATGCACAAGACATTCCACCATAACAATATAAACATTCAATAATGAACCATGGTCGACGCGAGCTCAAACAAACCTTTTTGTCTTGATGAACAGCCACAAAGCCAAGAAGAGCAGAATCTACCCTGTGCCCCATAGTTGTTTATAAGGCCGTCTAAAGCCCGAGTGGCTTCACTTTCTCCAGAGAGCTCACGATCGCTCGCCATGTGTATATTTTTAAAATAACAAACTTGATAATATGACAAAAATATTCTCATGATAATAACATGCGTGTGATTATTGCAGTGCTTCTGACATCCTTTCAGAAACAGACAAACGCAAGAGTGAAGCACGAAAAAACAAAAGAGCGAATGATTCTTTCAGCAACCTAAAATATGAGCACACTGTTTAACTATTATCATCACCTTTTGGACTATTATGAACTCGAAATAACAAAATTATTTTCAAACAAGAGGTTACATGTGCTGGTAAAGATTAAAGATACAGATGAGAGGTTTGCACTGATTGGACTATATGCTGAGTGTTCTTTTTGAACCCAAATAAGGAATAAATCTATACTGTGTGTAGTTTTACTGTAATTGGAAACATATCAGAGACTGTAAGGGTCTGCATGTGTTCATATATGTTGCATTTATTTATTTATTCTATATGATTGCAGACATTACAGTAGGCTGTTTCGCAGTATCATTGATCTGCAGTTACAATCAAAACCTGTTCATAGAAAAGTTTTAATGAACATTTATACACAAGTATTTATGTGTATAAAGCACTCCGTGAGAAGTGCTTCTCATATGATATGTGAACGACCCGTAGAGCTTTACTTTGACATTTCCTCAAGCAAGAAAGACTTCAACTGAAACTTTCCTTCGTAAACCACACCATTGGTACCCTTTTGACAGTGGAAAGGCAAGCCTGATAAAGGTGATCCATACTGTAACACTCAGTAGAAACAGGCTATAAGGTTCCATTAGCAAGCTTTATTAGTTATTATGTTAATATTAGTTACGTACAACTGCATTTTATAAAGTTATTACCTCTATATAATTTAACAATTTACACTTGTAATCAGACAAAAAAAATGTAATGCTTTTGTTTAAAAAAGCATGTACATTGAGCTGCACGATTCTGGCTAAAATGAGAATCTCAATTTTTTTTGCTTAAAATAAAGATCACGATTCTCTCACGATTCTGTAGAGGTAAAATAAAGCCTAATATGAGATTATAGTTTTTTTCTCAAACATATGGTAAAACAACAATATCAATATTATGTGTAGGTCTACTGGTTTCTATAAAAAATTCTATTCTACTTGTAATAATTCTGATGTTGAATTATGTTTCAGATATATGCTTGCAATCTGTCATTGACAACATTTTTAGACCATTTAATTCACTGGCTCTCAAGCGATCACTCTTTGCCACAAACTGAATATTATTTTTTCAAAACTTTATTACCTGTTACTCACAGCATAGGCAGGTTCTGTTCACTAAAGTAGACGCGCATGCGTCTATCATTAAGTAGGGCATGCGCCCGCACAGTCAGTAGCTCACGTCATTTGTGATTTCCCGGCCGGAAATACAGCATGATATGAAGACAAAAATGACATTTTTAGGTAAATTATAACTTCTAAATACAGTATGTGACTCTTTTAACATCATTTGGAGCTGTCCATGTTGCTGAGCAATGTGTGTGAAACAATGAAAAGACTCGTGCAGCCCCCTTTGCTTCTCTCCTGAACTTGAAAATATGATTGACAGAATCGTAGAAATGCTTGATTAAGATCGTCTAGGGGGTCGAACCGAGATCATGATCTTTTTTCGATTAATTGCGCAGCTCTAATGTACATTTAAACAAAATCTGATTAATTTACACTGTTTAATTGAAACAGTTAATTTCAGATAGCTTTTAACAATAAAACGACCAAACAGTCACATTAAATTTGATGGTGGGCCAAATAAAAGGTTGCCATGGGCCAACTTTGGTTCACAGGACCTAGTTTGGGCATCGCTGTCTGAGAGCTTTATCTGTACTATGAGCTGAGATCATTGATGTCTGTGGAGGATGAGGGAGCTCTCTAATTTAATCTTAAATATATTAATCTGCATTCTGAAGATCAACGAAGGTCTCAGGGAATGGGAATGACATGAGTGCAAATAATAAATAACAGAACTTTCATTTTGGGGTGAACTAATCTCTTTAAATCCACATTTCTCTACTTGACTCCAATGTCTGACTTGTCTCAGTTCGAATGAGATAATCAGCATGATTTCTGATTGGTCATCTTCAGCCGAGGGTTTAGATTCTTTCATGATTTGCAGTCACAAACTAGAAATCAATAGCAGATCCAAATTGGAGGCATTTCAACATGTATGTGGAAATCTGAAGTGATCTTGAGCCAATTCTGCTTGTATCTGTGCGTCTTTGTTCAGAGACTGAGAACTGCTCTTATGGTTACAGGGGGGTTCATTTTTTCCTGTATGAGGTAAAAGTCTTTTTTATTCACTGGGCAACAAGAAGTACAGTTATTGTTGTTTTAATGACCTGCAATAAACCAGTGGACACCAGCCAGTGATGTAATGTGTGCTAAGTGCATATGTTTTTTTTTTAAAACAAATTAAAAGTGAATTCTCATACATGGGATACAATACACCACTGAAAGAAATGCAAAACTGTTGTGCTAGGCACAAGATTTTTGCACAACATTGTGCATAAGTTTTGAAATATGCTTGAATCAACAAGGACAAGTTACTGTTGTCACTTCAGTAGTGTTGTCACGATACTGGAATTTCTGTACGAATCTTACTGAAATTTTAAAAAGGTCCCTTTCCCGCTAACATTTGAGCAATGTCTCAACAAAAAAAGTCCATCAGCAGTGCTTGGATATGTGGTCAACAGAGCTCAATTGTTAGTGTGAAATGGACGTTTTTAAAAAAAATACTGTCAGGTTCACACTGCCCCAACAATTGCCACCCACAATAATTGAATAATTAATTAAATAATCCTTATCTAAGCTAATAAGACATTTATATGAAGCCTTTCTGCAACCCAGTCTGATTAAGTCAGTTTGTTGCTGTTTATTGGAAAATCTCAGACGATTCACGATCCAACAAACGCCAACTGAATGTCGTAAGTCAGGTGAAAACAAACTATCTATGTGATGGCTGTATTTTAATGATCTAGGCGCAAATTCTAAAGCGAATGATACAAAAGCATTAAGGGAGTGTCTAAAACCGCTTCTTATCTTAATGAGTTACGGGTGTGTTTTGAGCATAACATGCCTCAAACCAATCTGCATCTCATCTAACATTCCATACCCGTTAAGAGTCAGTTGTGTCACACCATGGCGCATTTGCTATTCACATGGCGACTTTGTAAGTGGAAAAACTGAACACTTCACTACAAAAAGTAAACAGACCATCTGCAGCGCAAGGTTAAAGAACAAGCCTCCTCCATTCGGCCACTTTACTTTTACTCTCTCCACTGAAGACATCCATTAGTGTACATATTTAATTTCATTTGTTAAGCAGAAAGATTTGTTTTAAAACTATTTCTACATTCAGCTCTAATTTCCAGCAAACAAATAAATTAACAATAAAATTATAAAAATTAAAATTAAAAATAAAGTGTGGTCATAAAACTGAGTAATGTCCAAACATACATCCTATTCTTATGCCCCAACAGGTGGACTAATTTAAACTTGTTTTTGTTAAACAAATATAATTATTAAATAATAGTGCTAATAATGATAACAAAATATATACAAATATACAAACGCAAATTGTTATTAGTAAACTGAAAAAGCCCCCTGTCTGTCTATCTATCTATCTATCTATCTATCTATCTATCTATCTATCTATCTATCTATCTATCTATCTATCTATCTATCTATCTATCTATCTATCTATCTATCTATCTATCTATCTATCTATCAAGTTACTGCCGTGGGCCTACAAAAGCAGTACCACCTGTTTAAAAAAAAAACTAGATGCTGTTACTTTTGTTCAGACAGCAATTAGAATCAATGTATTTCAGCTACTCCAAAGGCTAAAATTATAACTTCATTAAATGCCTTTAATAACATCTAAAAGTTTTTTTGTTTTTTGCTTAGCTTTTTTTGTTTTTATAAATTTGGGTCTTTCAGGGGTATATGTTAGGAACTTAAGCATATGCATTAAGACTTATACATTTTTATGAATGACTTTGCAACTGTCTGTGTGTTTGTGTGTTAAAAAAATCTCTGGCTGACTTTGACAAAGCTGAAGGTCAGTGGTAATCAGAGCCGGAGGAGGTGACAGTCTTTCTGATTAAGACGGATTGCACAGTGGGAGGTTATCAGTGTTTGTGCAGGACTCATCTGTCCTTCACTCCCCCTTCTTGGCCTCAGTTTTTTTTCTTTTGCTTTATACTTTTTGATTCGCTTTCTTATTAATCTTACCTGCATGATGAATTCTCTTCGACGAGGCATCCCTCTCTCTGAAAGCAGCATGTATTCAGGCTCCTTCTCCTTTTTGGCCTGTTGGATCTGAGCCAGTCTGCTAATAGGGTTCATGCCCTGTCCGTACTCTGGTCCTGTCTGATAGAGAAAAGGAGAATGAAAAAGAAAATGAGAACGAGGATGAGAGACTGATAAAGCAGCAGGCGGACGGATGGACGGCTGGTTAATGTTCATGTCGGTAACTCTGTCAAAAGAATGACAAAAGAGTGAATGAGTGTGTGTGAATGAGTGACTGACTGAGTGAAGAAACAAACAGTCTGCGTTACATAAAATGCTTTCAAATGGTCTTGAATTTACAAAAGAGAACCGACTAAAATTATTAAGGCAGTTCACACAAATAATTAATATTCAGACATCATTTACTGGCCTTCATGTTGTTCTGAACATCTACAGCTTTCCATTTTCTGTACAAGACAACATATGAAACTTTAAGCATACAGTTTTTATTTATTAAAACAACTGGGCACTGAATTGTGACTGACAAACACCAAATGACAATTACTTTCATAAAGATGCAACCTGTAACTCATGAAAGCAGTATAAGCCCAAACAGAATCTGAGCAAGTTTGTTGACTTTCATCTATTTGCTTACATGCATATGTATACATTTATATTTTTGATGTTGTTTTTAAGTGTTTCTGTGTCTAAATCTTAAGATGCTTAGATGAGTAGTCTGTACAATAGAATTTGTAAAGAAATATTTATTTATGTCTAACAGTGGATGTATTATATGAGACCCAAGGCCCTATCATGCACCCTGCGCAATAAGGTGCAGGACGTGTATTTTAGGATTTGTAGCTTTTTTTCTGATCAACGCAACCCTAATATTCACGTTTTTCACCACGCTGTTTAAATAGCAAATTCATTTGCGCCACTTTGTGGACTTATGGGAGTGCTGGTCTAAAATAGAGGTGTTTTAAAGCTAGAGGTGTGAAACTACATTAGTCTCATGGTTCGGTTAGGATTATCATGTCATCGATTCGGTTCAATTCCATATCTCAGTGCATCACGGTACATTGACAATGCTTTCCATACACAGCTTTATATTTTCTTCAAAGCACAACAATTCTTGTATTAAAATGTATAAAAATATTTTATTTATATACTATTTGTAAGAAAATTTTGTCCTTTAATAAAAACAGTCAGATATATACACTGTTCCTTTAAACAACAAGAGGATTTATAGCAAATATACAAATATAAATATCCCACAAGCATTTTGAGCCTTGTCCAGCAAGTTATTTCTTACATCGCTTTGATTGGTCACATGCTCAACAGAAAGGGCTGTGAGTGGCTCTAACTAGCTGGCAATCTTCACAGATGAGCGACACTGATTAACGGCAGCGGCAAACACAGCTGATTCATAATAGACACTGTGTAGAAAACTCTGCAGACATGCACTTGTGTCTGTATCCAGAAGTATCACTGTAATAGCCGAGAGGAGAGGAAAAGTCACGCCAGCAGCTCAAACGGGCCACAGTGAGAGAGAGAGAGAGAGAGAGAGAGAGAGAAAGAGAGAGAGAGAGAGAGAAATGGAGTTCACTTTCATTCTCTTAATCGCAGTGAAATAGGGGCTTCTGCTGTAAGTGGCGGTGAAAGACTGTAAAGCAAACACACACACAGTGAAATTGTGCACAGTTTCTGCATTTTGAAGTAGTTGGAGCGTTACTCGCGCTCGCCTCCTTCGCCATAGTAAGCTACAGCAACAGATCACATCTAAGATAAATGACGTCAGTACAAATTAATCAGTTATGATTATTACTGAACCGATACCAAACTTTCCGCGCCTCCATCGAAGTGCACTGTTGAAACAATTAATTGTGACATCCCTGGGTAAAGTGAATCGTTGGCCCGTTGCTATTTAAAAGATCTGAAATAGACTGCGATCTTGATCTTTTAAAAGTAGGTCTAGTCCAGCACAGATCTCGTTAGTTATGCGCCTGGGTTCAAATGCTTACACATTGCTTAATACACATAGGATGTACAGCAATACACAAATATCTTTACATGTAAAAAAATGTATTAAAATGTAACAAAAATTATTATTTTCCACACAAATATAAAATCTTCTACCTCTGTGCTTCATCTCGGGGGCTTTTTTAGTTTATTCATGACGATTTGCATTTGTATATTGATATTATTTTTAGCTGTATTATTTATTATATGCATTTGGATATTTGTTTTAATTAAAACTAGTTTAGATTTGTCCACCTGTCAATAGGATGCGTGGATACAAGTGTGGATTTTTGACCACACTTCGTTTTTATGGTTCATTTATTCGTTTGGTGGAAATATGAACTGAATTTAAAAATAATTTTGAAACAAATCTTTGCGCTTAACAAACAAAGTTAAACATGTAGGCTAATGGATGTCTTCAGTGGAATGTGTACAACATCGTTTCCTTATCAACGAAAGCAAAGGAGTAAAGAGTAAAAGTAAAAAGAAAGTGAAAGTAAAGAGGCCGAATGGAGTAGGCTCGTTAGTTGTCCTCATGCCGAAGATGGTTTGTTTAATTGTTTTCTCATTAGTGTAGCATTCAGTTTTTCAACTTACAAGGTCTGCCATGTAAATAGCAAATGCACCAGGGTATGACGCAACTGACTCTTAAAGGGAATGAGAGATGGGACTCTGATTGGTTATAAACACACCCATAACTCATTAAGAGAATAAGCACAACCCTGTTGAACCATGCACCAAGGTGCAGAGTGTATTTTCCCGTCCTTTATAGCAAAAGTGGATTCGGACATACTCCTGATGCTTTTGCGCCATGTGCTTTAGACTTTGTCCACTGCCCTGGGTGTATGCTCACTGTGTGTATTTGTGTGTTTGTTCTCACTGTTCACTCAAAATGTGTGTGTGCACTTGTATATGCTAAAATCAGGATCAGTATGGATAAAACAAGTATGGTTGACTGACTTTAATACGCTTTAGTTTACCTAAGAAGTGTCTCTAATTTACTTGATTTGCATTTCAAACCTTAAAACATATTTAAAAATTGTAATTTTAAAAATTTTATCTGTTAAGTTTTCAACATTTTTTTTCCTACTATGGAAGTGCATGGTCATGAAAAGGATTAAAACCACATGAGGGAGAATAAACAATGCAGTAATTAAGATTTTTTGATTATTTTTATATTTGAGATAATTTTTAGATTTTTATATTGCAAGTGTTTGTCATTCTTTAAGCTTGATGTCAAGTATTGTAGTATTCTTTCTGCTACACACAAGCGTTGGGGTCAGTAAGATTTTTTGCTTTTGACAGATTTCAGATAAATTTATTAAATGGATAATTTATCCAAAATAATTATTTGCTGTTAATTTTCTCACCCTTAGGTCATCCAATAATAACAGTAGATGAAGTTTTATTTGGGTTTTTATTTTACAGTGTCCTTGTTAAAAACAATTAAAATTATTTATCTACATCCACTCAACAAATGGTTACGGTTAAGATAAGTGTATGGTTAGATGAAACACAAAATAAGATATTTTGAAGAATGCTGGAAACCTGTTAACATTTACATCTATAGTAGGAAAAACTAATTATATGGAGGTCAATGAATTCCAGGTTTCTTTAATACATCTTTTGAGTTCGAAATTAGAAAAAAAAAAAAACTGTTTCAGAACAAGTTAAAGGTGAGTGAAAGATGGCAGAATTTTTATTTTAGGTGTCATACTTAATAGTAAAGGTGTTTTATGCAATAGAACAACTATATAAAGCTAGAAGCATCAGAAAATGGTACTCTGTGTCGGCCAATCACAATGACAAGAAATCAATACTCAGGTCTGTCGGCGAGTAAATTAACAGCAAATTTTATTTTTGGGATGAACTAATATTCCAGTAAAACTCTCCACTCCATCCCTGCTCCATAATCAACCCACCTTTAATATGGTCTTGGGCCGCTTCTTGTAATGCACTTTGGGTTTCTCCACAACAGGAAGCACTGGCAGTTTCTTCAGCTCCTGTAGAATGGAGAGGGCTGCTCTCTTCTTGGAGAGTTTCTTACTATTCCCCTCGCCCTCGGCCGAGAACTCTCCTACTGTCACACGTGTGAGGAAACTCTTCATGTGCGGGGGTCCGCTTTCCTTCAGCACCTGAGGGCCATGTAATGAACACGTTACACAAGAGAACACGCATGCATGCAGAAGTGGGAACAGCAGTTATTCCAGTCACGCTTTCTTTCTCCATGCCCCTTAGGCCATGTCTGCTGCACGCTCTCTTGCTTCTGCACTTTCTATCCTCTTTCTCACCAGCAGAAATGGAAATACTGCTAATTAGACTCGCTACAATCGAGCTGTCCGCTTCAACAACCAGATCGATAACTCAAGAAGAAAAAGAGAGGCCGCTGAAACATTGGAGACGGCACCTGGTTTTTAACTTGCACACCAGATATGAACACACATGAATATGCACAAGAATGAATTTAAATCAGAAGCAGAGGTCATGCACATTTAATACCGTCTTGAAAACATTTTAGGTTTTTTTTTTACATTATTACGCTATTTTTCTGTTTTGCAGGAGAAAAAATATCTTATTTTAAATGAATTTTGAACTTGGGGGATTGGCGTTGACCAACTTTATTTATTTTTTATTTTATGAGTATTGGTCATGTAACATTGAAAAAATTGTTTATCTGATCATGAAAATCAGGAGAAAGAACCTGAATGTGTAGAAATGGAGCAGGCATCCTGTGGGACAGTTTCTCTATTTTTAATGCTTTGTGCCTAAATACCACTTAATAGAAAGCATTTGCCAAACAATCCTATGGTCAATAGTTTATTAAAAATATGGGCTCAGTTTAGGACACATTTTAAGCAAAAACAAGCACTTTCTTTATTACCTATTACTTCCAATGCATTGTTTCCACCATCCTTAATTGACCATGCTTTTCAGATCTGCTTTAAGAAAGGGACTCAGATATGCAAGAGACTTTTTTCAAGGAAATAATTTTATGTTATTTAAACATATGACTAAAGAATTGGATATTCCTAAATCACATTTCTTCAGATATCTACAGGTAAGAAGTCTAGTAAAAGGGTATTTTAGTACACTTTCAGCCCCTTCCATAAACAGCTGGCTTGAGGAGATGTTTGACCCAAGTACATCTGAGGGTGGTCTGATATTAAAAGAGTATAGTCTGATTTAAAGAGCAACCACACCATCTTTAGAGTTTTTTTTAAAGAAACCAAAGGAAGATGACTTAGGAAATATAGTTCCAGAGACTGTCTGGCAACCAACAATTAGGCAAATTCACTCAACATCTATTTGCGTCAAACACAGTTTATTACAATTTAAGATCATGTATAGGCTGCACTTTTCTGTCAAGAATATTCCCAGAAATGTATCCAACATGTTCTAGGTGCCACAGAGATGAGGCCACCTTAGGTCATATGTTCTGGACGTGTCCATCCCCAAGACCATTTTGGTCTGCGGTGTTTGAGACTTTTTCTTATATATGTGAAAAGGAGATAAACCAGATCCAGTAATGGCAATATTTGGTGTGACACTTGGAAACCTTGCACTACCAGCAGGTCAATTAAATGCACTAGCATTCTCTTTTTTGTTGGCCCGAAGGCTTATATTTTTGCAGTAGAAGTCAACTAAATCACCAAAACATACTAAATGGATAGAACATGTCATGGCATATCTAAAGCAAGAAAAACTCAAATATAGCACCCGAGACTTAAATAATAGATTCTTCAAAGTTTGGAGATCCTTCTTGTCAAATTTTGAAAACAGATTTATTCCAAATACTTGAATTGTAATTTGTAAATTGTAATTCCAATTTTGATCTTTCCTGCATTTAAGTGATTAATTTAGTATTGAGTATGTGCTGTAGTTTTCAAAAATAATAAGGGGTCAAGTACCTTATGGAAGTTATGTAATTCAAGTTGATTAGATGAACCGTTTTCAATTAACTTGTGAACAAATCTAACAGAGCTTGCAAAAATGGACTTAAGGCGATATCTCTGTAACGCATTGATGCATTCACACTGAACATGGCGTGTGTGTTATGACAACCATGGTCTGAGGTTATCTGTAGCTTTTCAGTGCACTGCCTCTAGTAGTTCAAACATAATTTTTAAAAATGCTTTTTTTGCTTAAATCTTCTCAATCCTTTGTCCAAAACTCATAAAACTGGGTTATTTACTTCTGACAGAGCATGCAAAGTAGAATAATATCTAATTTTCCCAGGTCAGCCATTTTGGGAGCGACCATTTTGATTTTAGAAAATTCTCTTGCAAACTCCTCTTAGACCTTTTGCTGAAATTTCACCAAATTAGATGCAGATCATTTTCAGACCATGATGACCAAGTGTTGTGAAATTCGTGTTAATAGGTGAAATGGTTTTTGTTTACCGCACCAACAAATGTGCTCATTCTGCCTCTGGACTGCTTGGCCCCTTAAATGCTGCTTGCAGCCATATTTGAAATATTTTTTTTATTTTGCTATATTTTGCTTTTTATTCAGCTTTAGCTGAAGAATTCTGTTCTGAAAACTAAAACAACATTGGTTCGTTCAATGGCTGACCAATCAGAATTTATTTAATCCACAACCCAACCAAAGACATTTCTGATCGTCTCTTTTTTTGTGCTCACTGTTGTTCCTCTACTCTGCCATTATATTAATAATTTCTCAAGGAATATTTCTTGAGAAACACAATTTAATTTCATGCACATGTAATGGTTATTATTTCCTGTTACATCATCAATATGGTGAAGCGAACAGGTGAGCTGCTCTGAGCTCTTTAAGAGCAACACTGGGGGGATTAGGTTTCGCACAGACGCACATACAGATCCACAGCTGAGGGTGGGCCTCTGTGTACTCAGTCAAAACCGAAAGTTATCCGTCTCCAGAGACACACTCCTCACATCCTCTCTCTTTACACACATGACCATTCTGGCATTCATACAAACATGTGACACTCCAGTGAAACAGGCTCAGCTGAGAGGGGCCAGTGCATAATACAAAACTAATAAAGAAGATTATCGTGCCCCATTCAAAAACACACTGAAATCAAACCTGAAGGCTTATTCATCGAATGGATGGATCAGTCAAAAAAAATCGCTTTTGCATTAATTTTTTTACTTTTTCCATATGCCAGATGAGATCATGAAAAATGTGTTTAGAGAAAGTCAGTCAGACTTATTAACTGTATAACAAATAATCTATATATTGTCTAATCACGTTTTGAGTGATGTGACTGACTGTATTATTTTTCGACATACAGTAAAATCTGTTTATACGGTCACTAAACTTTTTTCCTTAAAAAGAAACGGCTGGCTGTCTGTCTGTCTGTCTGTCTGTCTGCCTATCTATCTATAGTTGAAGTCAGAAATATTAGCCCCCTGATTAATTTTACCCCCAATTTTTGTTTAACGGAGAGAAGATTTTCTCAATAAATTTCTAATCATAATAGTTTTAATAACTCATTTCTAATAACTGATTTATTTTATCTTTGCCATGATGACACATTAAAGTGACATTTAAAGGCTTAACTAGGTTTATTAGGTCAACTAGGCAGGTTATGTTAATTAGGCAAGTTATTGTATAACGATGGTTTGTTCTGTAGACTATCGAAAAAAATTAGCTTAAAGGGGCTAACAATTTTTTCCTTAAAATGTTTGTTTTTTTTTAGTTAAAAACTGATTTTATTCTAGCCGAAGAAGAAAAAATATCAGACATACTGTGAAAATGTCCTTGCTCTGTTAAACATCTTTTAGGAAATATTAAAAAAAAAAAATTTTAAATCAAAGGGGGCTAATAATTTTGACTTCAACTGTATATATATACATATATATATATATATATATATATATATATATATATATATATATATATATATATATATATATATATATATACATATATATACATATATATTTACTTTTTCCCCGTTTTCGGTTTAACAGAGAGCAGTTTTTTTTTTATTGCATTTCCAAACATAATAGTTTTAATTACTTATCTCTACTAACTGTTTTATTTTAGCTTTGCCATGATGACAGTTTTTTGACTAGATATTTTTCAAGACACTTCTATACAGCTTAAAGTGACATTAACTAGGTTAATAAGGTTAATTGGGCAGGTTAGGGTAACTAGGCAAGTTATTGTATAACGATGGTTTCTTCTATAGACTATCTAAAAAAAATGCCAGAAGGGGCCAATAATATTGTTCTTAAAATGGGGTTTAAAAATAAAAAACTGCTTTTATTCTAGTCTGAAAAAAACAAATAAGACTTTCTCAAGAATAAAAAATATTATCAAATATATATATTTGAAACATAATCTACAGGCACACTGAATGACATTTCAGTGGTAGTCTTCTGAACTTTCTAAAATGTGTGATTTTATTTAATAATTTGCTATTTTACCAATCATAGCTCACCATCAAAAGGTGTGCATGTTAACATTATTCACTATGAGTTAACAAGAAATAACAATGAGCGATTTTATTTCAACTGAAAGATGAATAAATACTGTAATGTACTTTTCACTATTTGTTCATCTTAGTAAATATATTAACTAACACTGACTAATGGAACATTAAAAAGCACTACTTTAATAATCTATATAAAACAAATACAAATATATTTATTATGAGTTGCTTTATTGGTAATGTCCATTTTAAATGTTGATCATCTCAGTTCCCATTGTTACCATTAGTCTTTCACAGAGGAAAGAAAACTATCTGGGTTTCAAATGACATGAGGGTGAGTAAACTATGAGAGAAATGAAACTTCTAGGAGAACTGTCTCTTTAAAGCTTAAGACTGTTATTGTGAATGACTGAAAGTGTGGACAAACATCATTAATCTTCATCTGCAAGCTTTTGATCCTCAACAATCTGGGCTTTCATCTGAAGATGTCCAGGAACCCATGAACACAAGTGAGCACTGTGCATTTCCCGCACACTTGACAGAGTGGCATAACCCAATATTTACTAGGCCTTGATGTGGAATGCATTTGATCATCGCACGTAGATGTTACATAA